CCTTTAGTAATGAGGTGTTGAGGTGTGAGGAGAGGAAGCCTTCTACGTTCCTGTGATCAGATCTCAGTCCTTTAGTGAGTCTGTGCCACTGGACTGTGAACTTAAGTGTTTCTCATTTTTGTACTCTCCCTGCCTTAGATGGGTCAGGAGGGCTGGGTGGGCTGGAGTTCAGTGTTTCCCTTCCCCAGGTCAGTTGGGCTGTGATAATAGCCCAGCAGGTTAGACTTTGGTTAACTAGTTTCCCCCTAGGGCCTGCCTCCTTAAGAAGAACAGAGTACACTGCGTGTATTTCAAAATGCTTCCTTTCCCCCTCCCTCTGCCAGAAGGAAGCCCCAGGGGATTTTCTTTGATATTTACTATGGGAGCCTGGTTGAGCTCCTGGAGGTAAATTTCACAATAATGTTCCCACCTCCACCCATAACTAGAGACTCCTGGAGTTCTTAACTCTTAGAGCTGTCTGTATTGAGCCTCCAGCGTTCCCTTCATTACTGCTCAGGTTTTCTTACCTGAGTGCTGGTTCCTGCGGCAGCTTCTCCCCGAGTCTCTATCCCAGGTTCTCGCATTCCCTGGATTTGCCTGTTTCCAGTTCTGGGGCTGCGTTTTTCTGTGTCCTCACCTGTCTCCTGGATCCAAGAGTTGTTGATCTTTCAGTCTGTTCAGTTTGTAACTTGTTGTTAGGACAGAACGATGACTTCCATGCCCCTGACACGCAGGACAGAAAACCAGAAGTTAGTACATTGCAACTCAAACCTACTATTTTGACTCCTTACCACCAAGTATGGTGAAGGCTGGCTGAAACATTTATATTTTATTATAATATATCTTAAGCATATCAAACTCTCTGAAAGGTCGTACATAGGCTTTATCATTTTTTGAGAATCTATATGTAGAAATGGAATCCATAGTGTTATAGTTTTTCCTTAAAATAACACTATTTTATCTGAGAAAGCTTTAATCTACAAGTAGAGAATGAGCACAGAAAGCATTGGATTTGTTTGGTAACCAGGAGGAGTGAAATTGGTGGGTATAGTGACAATTTAATTGTTCGTGTAACCTCACCTTCAAAATAAACATTCTCATCGCATGCAGAGCCTTTTTCATATCTGAGCTGTTCCATACATTTGATGAAAAATAAAACGATTACATTTTCTAGAAACCTGAACTATTAAAAACGCTTCATTGGGGCCTTTAGTTTGGTTTGGTTTTGTCTGAAAGGGAGTATAAACATAGGCATAAAAGGGGTCATCCGTGTTTTCTGTCCTTGAAGAGTGAAATACAAGAGCAGTTTAGGAAGTACCTACAGGATAGGGATCTGCAGATGTTTAGCTTGTCAAAAATCTAGAAGTTTTACCAAATTTGCATATTGCCTCATCTTTTAAACCAAACTGCAGCCCACGTAACTTCAGGACTTGGCATGCAGTTACTTTTTAATAAACTCTCATCTTTATGGCCTGGTCCTTGGGATTAACGATAAAGGTGACTTGAAGGCACCTCATACAGTGCTGGGAGAGATGTCTGCTGTACTTTGGCCACCCTCGTTACAGGTTCATCACACAAGTTGTTTAACATGTTTACTTTTTAAACACTTGGAGAATTAACAGGTGGTTGCATGACTGAGATGTTTGTTTTAACAGGCTAAAAAGTGGGAGGTAATTTAGACACACACTATGATGCAATAGGAAAATACCTAATTATTCCATTTTTGGCTCAGCTTTTGGTTTCAGTTAAAACTCCTACTAGCAAGGCTCAACAAGCCTATTTTGTAGCACAGTACACTTAACAGTATCTTCATATGAGAATCTGGCTCACTAGCAATCATGGTCACACTCTAGCTATTTGTACATGAAACCTTCTACTTGGCTTCAGTGCTAGAACATAGTAAAGGGTCTCTTCAGAGTATCTGTCATCAGCAGTTATGATGTGAATACAGAAGGCTCTGAAAGTCCCATATCTATTTCAGCATGCTCTAGACACCAACTTACAATATTTTCTGTCTGAACGTAGAATACTCAGAAGGTAGAACCCTGAAAAGAAGACAGCTAGTTGTTATTTTGCTGGTATGTTCATCCGGAGTGTCAGGATGCAGGTTTTGATGATTTCTTGAACTGTTTTCATTAAGCCATGAGAAGGAGCAAGACATTTTGCTAGATAGTGAGTTGTTCACTTTGGTTTGGGATCAAGGGACTACTGTCAGGTGTAGACACGGTCAAAGATAGACATTCAAGATCAGGGATGTCAAACTTTTTCTTTAAAGGGCTAGACAGTAAATACTTTAGGATTTATGGGCCATACAATCTGTGTTGTAACCACTGAACTCTGCTGTTGTAGCATGAAAGCATTCATAGGTAATATATAACTGACTGAGTGTGGCTGCGTTTCAATAAAACTTCATTAACAAAAACAGGTGGTGGGCCAGTGTGGCCCACCTTCAAATGATGGACCATCATTTGTCAACCCCTATTCTGGATCCCAGAAGATATACCACTGGGCTATATGACTCTGATCGTATAGGAAAAACAGCAATAATTTTCAGTTAATTGGACTAATACATATAACCTTCAATATTCATAGCCAAGACTTCAATGTATTTGTATATAATAAATTTGTTATCAGAAAAAAAGAGCGTTTTTTCCTCACTGGCTTCTTTGGGGACTAATGTGAATAGTGTGTTTATTTATCATTTATACCCCACTTCCCTCCCAAAATAATTTGAGGTGGCTTATAATAAAAGACATCTTTAGCTGTCAAAATAGATTCAGAACCCACAAAAAAAGGCACACAAAACAACCTCTGAATGTTCCATATCCACTTGCCAACTCCAGCTGGTAGCTCAACCATTTCTGGGACTGAACAGACCTGGGGACACCTCCTCAGTTTAATCCTGCTCTGCTCCCTAGTTTATCTTCTCTAGCATAATTTCCTTTCTGAAAAAAAAAAAAAATTCCCCATGTTTTATATTAAGTCTCCTACCAAAGGAAGTGTTAGTATCCGTCATATTTCTTTTGATTGAAGTGTAAGCCAAGAACTGTTACACCAACTAAGTGGGTGTATGTGAAGGAAAGAGAAAATTATAAGCTAATGAAAACTTTGGTGGCAGGTGACCTGTTCAGAACAGATTCCAGGGCTCACAGAGCCAAGGGATTCTTCCAGTCAGTTAGAGATGAATCTCTGCTGTCTGGGGAAAAGGAATGTTAAATTACTTTAGAGTTTGATGGTCAGAAGCACACCTGAGAGGTAGAGCAGAGGAGGTGGGAGTTCTGGCTGAGTGGCAGGAAGGGTAACTTTTAATGGGTGTCAGACACTGCGTAAGTGTCTGCAGAAGATCCTGTAGAACCTGAGGGATCTGTTTAGATCCCTGGCATTGGGGAGGGGTTACGGACACGCTTGTGCAGACAGTGGAATTGAAAGGAAGGAAACACTTCCCCAGGAAACATGGGTACCAGGCAAGGGTTCACTCACAAGTGAAGACAGAAGAAGCTCATTTACCTCGTAGTTAGATTAAAATCAACAAAGTAGAACCAGAAGCAACACAGGGGCAGAATTAAGGACAAACAGGCCACTCTCATGATGGAATTTTAATATGTGGTAGTGTCTAACTCCATGATGTACAGGAAATAAATTCTATAATTGGCACCTGGGAAGATGTTTGATATCAATTTTAAAAATGCTTTTCTCTGTTCTGTATATTTAGAAATGTTACAGCCTTTAAGTGGAAAAGAGAAATTAAGAATTTCCAACTTAAGCTGCAGTGTCTTCCCTCATTCACTGTTGGTGAGGAGGCAGATTGGGACAGCGTTTGTGGGGAGGGGCAGTGTTGCAGTATCTATCAGGTATCAAGCGGCACACTATTTGATCCTGCAACTGGACTTTCATAATTTATCTTTTAAAAAGCCTCCACTCTCAATCTGGCAGATATATGTACAAAGATAAGCATCATATTAAAAAATTGAAGTGACCTGCAGAAAGAAGTTCAGATTTCAGAAGTTTTGGGGTGTGAGAACTCTGAATGAAGGATGACAGATCTTACACATAGCCTTTAAGTTCAGCAAGGATACGTTGTGAAGTAGAAAAAGTAAATTTCAGAACAGTGTACCTGGAGCGCTCTCCTTTCTTTGAAAGTCATCAGTTGTGTGTGAAGGAATATGCAAAGAAGATCGAGAACCATACACAAAATTGTTCACGGTAGTTATGGCAGGTGCACAGATTACGGTGTATGAGGAACAAGCTGCTTCTTACTGTCAGCTAGAGTACAGGAGCCCCACATTTCCTCATTGTAACACTGGGGGGCGGGGGGCACAGAGGACTTGAGTAGTGCCTGGGTTCAACCTGAGAAGGACACATCATTAGAAGAAAAAAGCTTTGCTTTTCATAACTATAGATGAGGCTTAGGTGTTGTCATTACAGATGTCTATAGTTATAGGCCTGTCTCACTCAGGTATTTCATTTTTTCATTAATTTAGCAAATATTTATTGAGTGCCTAGGTTTGTGAAACACCGTGCAAGGCACCTGGGCTATGTAACAGTGATGTAACAAAGGTGACCTCAAGCAGTCAGACCCAGGCTGTGACCAGGAGGCCTGAGGAGGTATATTGTCTAAATGGAACAATGCAAGTGCCCAATTCCGAGTAACAGCAGTTGGTATTACAATGAAATTCCGAGTTTTCTTTCCTTTCACAGTATTTTTAAATTTTAGTCTCTAAGTTAGTGTTTATAGAGTTTTTGATGATTCATGTTTTCACTATGAAATCTAGATAGAGGTTGCCTGGGTGGTCTGTGGGACGATGACCCACATACCCATCAAGTGGCTTTGGTTTCTAACTGCATCCACGTGTCCCATGTTGACACTGTAGCCCCTTGCCTTGCACAAGGGAGACTCTCTCAATAAGTAGTATCCCAGTGCAACTAGAGAGACAGAGAAATAAATACAGATAGATAGATAGATAGATATGCACATGTATGTTTTGCCACATATCAACTCAAATGTTTGTTTTCTTCCACAGAAAAAGCAAAGAACAAAAGATCTTTCTCGGGTATTTCATTCTTACAGTCCATATGATCACAAGGTAAGAGATGCTTATGATTAGCATACTGGGTGGTGGAGAAATCTTTCTGAATGAGTGGCACAATTTCCCCTGATATATAGTGATTTTACACTTACCAGTTCCATTTATATTTTTATTTTAAAATTCAACTCTCTGTCTTTAAAAGAAACCAGAAAATTTGTATTTTGAACTAAAACAATTATATTTTATTCACATTAAAATCTAGTTACATATTGTCACTGAAATCTCAATGACTGAAAAGACAGGTTTTGGGGTGATTTGGTTTGGTGGTTTTTTTTCTTACCAAACAATGTAGTGATGGACTTGGCTTTTGAATTGGTACAGGCAGATAGCTGAAATATTAGCTGCCAACTCTTGGTTCTCCATTGCTCCTGATAGAAAGTTATTTTTCTGAGTAAAATCCCTAACAAAAAGCAGTGCATAGAATTCTATCTGAAATATCCACTGCCAATAGTTTTGCTACACAGAAGACCAAATAGTGTAGTGGACCCCTATGCATCCATCCCACAGCTTTACGTACCCACGGCCAGTCTTGATTCATTTATCCCCACTCTCTCCACTGCCTGTATGTGAAGAATTCCCAGACACCCTTTTACTTATAAGTATTTCACCATATATTTGTAAAAGAAAAGGACTCTTAAATAAAAATTTAAAAACTTGTAACTGTTTTTAAAGAAAATGCTCAGTGTCACATCCTCATAGGGAAATACATTACAAGATTTCTGAGTTGTGCAAAACTTCGTTATCCCTTAAGGTTCCAGTAAATCTGTTAATTTGAGGTGACTTCAGAAACAAACAAAACATTTGCACAGTTGAATTGCTAATATAAACTTAAATCTTTATCTATGAATTTACAAGGAGACATGTGGTGGGGATTTTTTAACTAGCCAAAATAAGTAGTGTGAAAACTACTTTCCTCAGCTGAGGATACGAAGATGTCTGGATTCAGGAGGGAAAAACCGTGCCAGTTGTTCATAGAAGTTGAAAGAATCTGAATAGCTTCTAGTGTTTCTATAGTGACCAAGTGACTTAAGCACCAAAAATTTTTAAGAGGTGTTGATGCTCTTCCATGTGGCATGGCTATATACACGACTAAAAATTATATCGGTTCAAGTTACTTTTTTGAAGTTAAGTCAGTCACTTTGCAGAATACGGCCATTTGTTTGAAAGAGTGCCTGACAATGCAGATGGAAGGTGCAGGCTGATAACTAATATTCAAAAGCAAAAGGAATGAGATTGGCCAGATTTTGGACGATAAAGTTGCATTTTTTTTTTTATATGAAACCATGTAATGAACATAAATGCAACAGTGGCTAAAGTTAACATTTAACAACAACAAAAGACTGTGACAAGTGTTTTGCCTGACTTGTCTAAATTTTGCCCACTTCTAACATTTTTTAATTCACAGTTAAGGGAAATTCCATTATTCTTTTATTAGAACTCTTAATGGAGCTTAGCCATTTGCAGCCTCTACCGGCTTCCTCTTCATATCCTTTGTGGCATTGTATCAAAGTCACCTCAGATTATTTTGGCTTCCCTTGTGAAGACTTCAGTCCTCTACAAATTAGTCATCAGGCAACAAGGAATTGAATATAAATGCTAGATGAAGTTCCTTTTGATCTTTGCTTTAAGATCGGTAATAAATTATTCTAAGTAGCTAGACTGCCTGATGAGTGATTTTTGAAGCTTCCAAGGTTTGGCCTATTGGCATTCTGATTTATTCTGTCTGCGTGGTGAAGGAAGGGAAACGTTTCCTTCTAGGCAGCTCTCCTGCCCCTAGTAGCCTCCTCCCATTTTTCCAAGCTCCATCCTGGCAAGCCTAAGTGTGTTACCTTTAACCCTGTCTTTTGTTGATCAGTGTCCACAAAGACTAAACTTGCAGGGACCGAGAAGCGTACACTATCTTCTCAACCTCAGAATGTTCCTTTCCCCCAATAAGTAAAATAATAGAGGGTTGCGATTCAAGTTACCTTGTCATTTTAACTAAACAATTATATTCAAACAAATTCGTTTTCTAGGCAGATAGGTTTTAGTGTAAAACACTTTATTAGAGGTGGTTAAAGTTGGTTAAAACATGTCATGCTCAATAAGATTTACAGAGTGATCTTTAGGTTAAATATGTACATATATCGTAAATGAAAGCTTATATAAAATAAAATGTAGGCCATGTGGGATTTGCTTTAAAAAGGAATCCAAGGAGGGTGGGTAGACTGAAACAAGATGGGCCTCGTGTTGAATATTGAAACGGAATGATGTTTGTGGGGTTCGTCATTCTACTCTGTGTATATTTTCTGTGTGATTGAAATATTCCATAATGAAAAAGATGCAAAAGTAAAATAAACGTTGGTCTGCTCCTGGAAGTGACTTTCATTGGCAGTGTTTCCCTTGGTGTAAATATCCACCAAAGGAGGACCGCTCTGCATTTCAGTGGAGTCACCATGCTGCGTAAACTCACAAGTGCAACTCCTGTTCTAAAGCGTAATAATTTCCTGAGGCTTCGTCCCAAATTATAGTGGGTCACTTAAATGATAGCCTTGCCTACTAGAAACTGTTAAAACAGTTGTAATTACAAAACGTAGTTAGTACAGCCGTTCTGTTCTCAGTGAGTCAGTTGTATTTGCTCTTCTTTCCTTCCCCCCACCAAGACTGCTCCTGCCTGACCCCCAGACACAGGAAAGTCACCAGGTTAAGCAAACGTGCTGTTTGAGTCTGACCAGGTGCATTTCTTAATGGTGCTGCTCTAAAGCCATTGTTTGGGTTGTAAATGGTCAGTTGGTTTTCTCTTAAACGCTGTTGCAAAAAGCAAACAACGCCTAGAACAAAATGTGCCCTCAGAATGAGCCTCAAGGAAAATACCTGATTTATTTTTTATGCTCTAAAACAAGTTTTGCCATAGACTAGAAGAATTTCATTTTGGCCTGATATCTGTGGTTCCATGTCTATTTAAAAACTATATTTTTCAGGAATCCTTATAATGTAGACTTACGCAGAAAAGCTTTAACCAAAGCTAATTCCCATTTATCTGTACTAATAAATGGTAACATTAGTCAAGGGAATTCAAAAGAGCAGGTAATCTGATGGTATTTTGTACATATATTTCTTCTGTTATTTTAAGAAACATAATAAATGTAGCTTGTAATTTCTGGAAACACATCATACTGACTACCAGGAAAGGTTCAGAGCCACAGGTCTTCTACGTCACAGCCAGGCAGCTTGAAGCTGAGTTTTTCCTTTGGATAGGTCACAGGTAAGTAGAATAGATATAATTAGACCACTTTTATTAAAGCTATGCGAATTAGTATGTACTTTCTGTCTTTGGCCTGGAGAAAGTATTGCTGTGCATATAAAAGATGTCTCTCTTTTTCTGATTTCCTTCCTTTTGTTTTCTTTCTTGTTAGATTTTATCAGAATTATGTGTTCAGGAGGAAATCTGGGCTTATTAGCCAAACACAGGTGTTAATAATCTGCTAATGTAAAAAGCTCTTATAAAATATGAAAATGCTTGGAAAGAACAAATCACAAAATTCTGTTTAGGTTTATAGTGGCTCTTAACATCTGCAAAGATGACTAAGTTCCTAAACCCAGTTAACCTGTATGGATTCATATATGCCAGACCAGTAAAAGTATGTCTTTAATAGGTTGCACTATTAGAGCTTCTGTATTTTGTGAAGAGGGCTTCTCATTTTCTTTTAGTGCCTATTGTTATTTTAATAATTTTCTACGTTTGAATGCCTAAGTCAGTGGACACACATGAGAAGTAACATTATTATATAGCTCCTGTATTGGTGAAGCAAGCTTTCCTTTTTTCCTTTAGTGACTAATGTTATTTTAATAATTTTTCTACTTGCATAGACATATTTCTAAACAAATTCATGTGTCAAAAAAAAAACACACAGCTATGTATGAAGACACTTGATAAGTTATCATATGAGTCAATAGAAAACAAATGAACACCAGTACTTTACTCAACCCCAGGTCTTTTGTGCAGCACTCTCAGCTCAGAACCTGCAGGTAAGCTAGCCTGGGCCCAGCCTGGCAAAATTATTGTTTAATTCTCTCTCCCCACCTCATAACTTCTTCAGTCCCCCATCCACAAACAGTCCACTTTTTAAAAAAAAACAGTTCTAACAAAAATGCCTGGTTTCCCAAACCACAGTCAACCCTAGCAGCAGTTAAAAAGAGGGTGCTTATTGCTTCAAGAAGTCAAAGCTCCATTAAGAAGTGGCAGTATGCTAAATGAAGGCAAGGCCCAGGCCATAAAAACTGTAAGTCATTAACAGAGGAACTCTAAAAGCGCAGCTGCCCACGAACATTTAATTTGGACCCAAATATCCCTATACATTTTAGTAGTTCCAGGGTAAAATAATTGGGCTTAAATTGCATCAAGAAACAGATGTTTTGTTTTAAAATAGTAGAGATGTGTGTAACCTATTTTTAGAAACATTGATATTTTTATTTTAAGAATAAATTTTATTCATCTTGAAAACTCTCAGGAGCAGCTGTTTCTTAATAAGGTAGGATAAGTGAAGTATTACTATAGAGAGTGGTTTAGTAAGAGAGAAGTAGTGAGAGTGGCTGAACATGTGCTGGTCGTTGGGTAGAAGACAAACCATGTATGAGCATAAAAGACAGAGAGGGTGGAATCAGTATTCCCCCAAATTGTTCATTATATACTTAGATCCTATAAAGATATTGAAGTCTTTGAGAATTATTATAAGATATTTTCATCTTTAAGATTACTCTAGGCATTTCCCTGGCTGGTATTGCTCACTTGTTGAGCTTCAACCCCTGAACCAAGAGGTCACCAGTTCCGTTCCGGCCAGGGCGCGGGCCCAGGTTGCGGGCCAGCCCCTAGTGCGTTTCTCTCTCTCTATCCCTCTCCCTTCCTCTCTCTCTAAAATAAAGTAAAAAAAATAATAACAAAGTAACAAAGCAAAAAAGATTACTCTAGGCATAACTTGAATGGAGTAATAATAAGTTAACGTATCAGTACAATGCAT